CACAGCGCCACTTCCGGCTTTTTTCTTTCTGCTTATGTGGTGCTGAGGAATCAAACCCAGGGCCTCAGGCATGCAAGGCAAGAGCTCTACCACTGAGCCACCTTCCCAGCCCCCTTCTTTTGTTTTTATTGTGATAAAATGTACATAAATTTGTTCCCTCCTCCCCCAATTAAAACTTATCTTTTTCTAAAAAACACAAACCTTGATTTCACTCTTTTTTTTTGTCAGTCGTGTGGCCTGAACTCTGGGCCTGGGCACTGTCCCTTAGCTCTTCAGCTGAAAGCTAGCGCTCTACCAAAAACCACAAACCTTGAGATCTCATGTCCAAAAATATACCATTTCGCCTTTTCCAGCCTGCAGCTGTGCACTGACTTGTAACCTTTAGAAATAAGGAGTGTACCTGGGTGGTGGTAGCACACACCTGTAATCCTAGTTACTCAGGAGGCTGAGATCTGAGGATCGTGGTTTCAAGCCAGCCTGGGCAGGAAAGTCCAGGAGACTCCAATTAACCAGCAAAAAGCTGGAAATGAAAGTACAGTTCAAGTGGTATAGCACCAACCTTGAGGGAAAATGTTAAGGGGCAGTGCTCAGATTCAGAGTTCAAGCCCCAAGACTGGCACAAAAGAAAAGGGGGAAAAAAGGTGTAATCTCCACCCTCAGTAGGCTGCGGCTGCAGCATCCGAATTCAAGGTCAACCTAGGCTACACCAGGGAGACTCACTTCCAATAATCAAAACAACAAGAAAGCAACCATCCAGGCTTTGGCCCCGCCCTCGTTTCCCAGCAACCTCAGGTCCCACCTCCAGTCTTAGAGGCGTGGCCTGGGGGGTCACGTGCCACAGCTGCGGCTCGACTTCCGGGCTTCTGTAGTGCAAGTCCGCTCTTTCCCTACCTCCCGCCACCGCCCTCCCGGGGCTGGAGTACGTGCGTGCGCGCGCGTTCGCAGGAAATGGCGTCCGGCGCGCTCCTCTCTGTGACGTCACCGGCGTGCGCGCGCCCCGCCGCGCTTCGCCCTACTTATACCGCGGCGGCGGTGGCGAGCAGACATTCGGGCGGGCGTTGGGGTGACCGTTTTTACCTCGATCCTCCAAGCGGACCAGCATTATGGCGGCTGCCGTGTTTCTGGCTGTGAGCTTCGCGTTGCTGGGCATCCAAGAAGCAACCGCTACGGGTGAGGAGCGGGTTGGGGGGTCCAGGGGCCGCGAGGGGGGATTAAGGACCGACTGGAGGAGGGGGCCCATCTTGGGGGCCGTGACCCGGCCGGAAAGGACCTTTGTTTGGGGGGGAATCTCCACCGAGAGGACCGGGGTGAGAGGTCACTCTGGAGGTTCTGGGGAGAACACGTTGCCTGGTGGCGATTTTCTCGGGATTTGGAGGATCGAGCTCGAGGAGAGGACTCCTCGCCCTGGGGGGAGGGGGAGGGGGTGCAGAGGGGTCTTTGGGGGTTCTTGGGGAGCCACAGCGCCTGGGGGTGACACCCCCGAGGTTTGGGAAATTATAGGGTGAAGACTGGATGAAAGCTTTTGCGTTGGATTGCGGGGTGTGTGTGGGGGGGAATCCCCTACGGGTGGTAGTGGTGGTGCCAGATTTAGGAGTGACCCTCGGGGCCTCTAGGGGCAGCAGCCGTGCCTGGGGTAACATTCCTGAAGATGGAGGCTGCGGGCCTGGGGGTTGTCCTGGGCCTGAGGAGCCTCTGGAACCAGGGTGAACGGAAGCCACAGGCTTGGAGGTTCCTCACTGGGACCCAGCAGGGGGAAGTCCTTGGTGTCCTTTGCCTCCAGGAGGTGAGCCGAGGGAGTTGCTGGGAGTGGCTCCAGTCAGGGATAAGGTCCCCAGCGTTTTGGGGGAAAGTTCCAGCCAGGTGTGTCCCGCCTGGGTGTGTGATCTGAAGCTACTGCCCACTTTTTGACAATGATGATTTTCTGTGACCTGAGAGGCGAGGGGTGTTAGCCCTGCCCAGCCCCAGCTCTTAGTCCAGGGCTTCCCAGGACTTTGGTCACAAACAACTCATCTACCCTTGCTCCTGGTCAGGGAAAAGGAGGCCCAAACATGGGCATTTGAGGGGGGCTCTTTTGGGCTGAAGCCAGGGCTGGCTCTGGGCTGATCAGGTGCTTGCTTGGCCTGGGTCCACAGGCTGGATCCTGCAAGGCCTTAGGGGAGGCGGGGGAAGGGGAGTGGAGGGGACCCACGTGGTCAAGTAGTGCCAGAGTAAGAACCGACCCATTCTGGAGCCCCTGCATGTGACCCTTACTGGGACCTGTGCTGCCAGAGTACTGACCTCCTGCTGGGCCTGGTGCTCTCCTCCAGAAAGCGCCTGTTGTCCCCAGATGGACACTGGGTCTGTGTGCTCGGAAGTGGCCCTGGAGAGATTATCATTCTTGGTCGGATTTAGCCACATCTCAATCTGCGCTCACACACTCATGCCCTGAGAGCCTTCTTCCAGTCTGGGCTTCACTGCCCTCTTACTTTACCTGATTGGAACACAAAGGGAGATGGTTCATCTCCTGCCTCTACAAGTGGGAAACTGAGGCCCAGAAGGGGAGGCAGGTGTTCAAGGTCACAGAGAGGTCATCCTGGCCTCCAGCTCAGGCTGTACTTGCAGGGTGGTCTCCTTGGAGGGTGATCCAGAGCAGTTTTTACGGGAGAAAAGCCAGGTTGCCATCCTTTTGCTCGGCAGAGGTGTTTTCTTCATTTACTGGGGGCACCATTAAGATCTGGTTAAAGATTTATAGCGGCTGAGGATGAGAGGCATGCCTCAAGTGGTTGTTGAGTGCCAGCCAGGAGTGAAAAAGCCAAGTGAGAGTATGGGCTCTGAGTTCAAGCCCTAGTATTACCACACCAAAAAAAAAAAAGAAAGGAAGGAAAAAATGCAAGACAGATATTAGTGACTCACGTCTGTAATTCTAGCTCCTTAGGAGGCTGAGATCTGAGGATTGCAATTCAAAGGCCAGCCCTAGCAGACAAATGCTGGAAGTGGAGGCATGGAGGCTCACATAGTGGAGCACCAGAAGTGAGCAAAAAAGCTAGATTGTGAGTTCAAGCCCCAGTGTTGGGATGGGGGATATGTATATACATACATATATTGGTAGTTAGCAGAGGGGTGGACCATGAGGTCAGGGTCTCTGAGGACAGGAGGGCATCCTGAGCTGAGGTGGCTGGGCCTTGGCAGGAGGGAGAAGGAGGCTGCCCCTAGCAGAAGTTCCACCAGGTTACTCCTGACCCACTTTCACATTTCTTTTTCCTCTCCAGAGCAACTCTTAGGCGAAGGCCTTGATCCCATAGCTGGCTCTGGAGGGTAAGACAGGGCCCCGGGCAAAGTGGATGGAGAAGATAAGCTGGAGCCTAGGGAGTGGGGACGAGGCTGAAATTCCCTGGCCTTAGTAGCTTGGGCTCAGAATTTTTTTTAATTTATTTTTGCCACAGGGCTTGAACTCAGGGCCTGGGTGCTGTCCTTGAGCTTTTTTACTTAAGGCTAGTGTTCTACCACAGTTCCACTTTGAGTTTTCTGGTGGTTAATTGGAGATAAGAGTCTCACGGACTTTCCTGCGCAGACTGGCTTTGAACCACAACCCCTCAGGTCTCAGCCTCCTGAGTAGCTAGAATTACCAGTGTGAGCCACCAGCGCCCAGCAAGGCTCAGAGCTTTCCATTGTGGATTAAGTGGGTAGAGCAACCTTCCCTGTCTTGCCCAGAGTCAAGCAGGGCTTCTGCCCACACACAGATCTGGGGCCAGGGCATTTGGAGGCTGGGAAGTATATTTTCCTTGCTCCAATCTGAGTGCCTGGAGTCACGGCCTGTCCTGTGTGGTGTGAGGTGCTAGGACTTGAAGCCAGCCGTGCATGCTGGCAAGGGTTCCACCACTGAGTCACACGTGCTCCTCTTCTTTTCTCTGAGTGAGTAAGTGACTATGTTTGTCTCTCTGGGCCCCGTGCTGAGGTGGGTGCCAGCCTGGCCATGTAGAAGGAGGGTGTGGATTTGCGGGCTAGATCCCTCTTAAACCCTGAGCCTCAGGTGAAACGGGTAAGAGGTCACTAGCATTCCAGAATATTCTCTCCTATTCCTGTCTCAGTGCCAAGGTAGATGGGGAGGAGAGAGGCTGGGTGTGAGGTGCTCTTGGGGAGAGGCACCTTTGGTGTGGCTCTGGTTGCCCCATGGCCAGCCTGGCCTTGTGCTTCTCCAGGCTGCCAGTGGGCAGGGAGGAGGGCACTGTTTTTAGACTAGGGTGACTGCTGGAGAATGTGGGTTTCAGATCATGTGTCCAGACTCCACTCTTGCCTTCACTAAGGTCCAGTAGTAAGGCCTTGAGAGCACTTGGGACTGAGGCTATGCCCGGGCATGGCTGAGCCTGTGCTGGATGGGAGGAGATGGACAGGCCTCCTGGCATAGGGCCTTCATCAGGCCTGTGTTCCCCAACGAAAGGGCAGCCAACCCTATAGGGCTGGGGCAGGGACTATGAGGCACATAGCCCTTGTGTGGACATGAGATGGGGGTAGCCTGTTGATCCTGCCACGACTTGCTGATCTTGCTGACTTGCCTAAAGCTGCTAGTTTTGCAATCAGAAATCTTGACTGAAGACATGTAGGTTCCTAGGAGGACTCTTCCCCAAAAGAGTGGTAGTTAAAAAATCTCTGCTCACTGGGCTCTGGGGCCTCAGGGCCAGCATGTGCCTGTGGCTCTGCATGTGGGGACCTGCCATCCACCTGGATCCTGGGCAGGCACATGGAACTGAGTGCAGTTCTGAGGCCCTCTCTCCCTTGTTAGAATGTAGCCTAGGCTGCCTGCGACTCCCTCCTTCTCATGATAGTGAGTGAACCTCGGTCCAGGAAGGTGGCTTAGTGGTAGAGTGCTTGCCTTGCATGCATGAAGCCTTGGGTTCAATTCCTCAGCACCACATACACAGAAAAAGCTGGAAGTGGCACTGTGGCTCAAGTGCTAGCCTTGAGCAAAAGAAAGAAGCTCGGAGACAGTGCCCGGGCCCTAAGTTCAAGACCTAGGATGGGAGAGAGAGAGAGGAAGAGAGGGGAGAGAGAGGGGGAGAGGGGGAGAGAGGGAGATTGACTCTTGGGTTGAAGCTATGGCTCAAATGTTAGTAATCTGTCTAGCCAGTGAAGCCCAAGAGTTTACACTCCACCACCACAGATAAAGGAAGCTGGCTCATGCCTATGATCCTAGCTACTCAGGAGGCTGAGATCTGAGGATCAATGTTTGAAGTCAGCCTGGGCAGGAAAGTCCCTGAGATTTATCTTCACTTAACTACCAAAAGGCTGGAAGTGGAGCTGTGGCTTAAGTGATAGAACCAGTAGCCATTAGCAGAAGAGCTCAGCAACCGCACCCAGGCCCTGAGTTCAAGCCCCAGTACCACCATGGGGCTGGGGTGGAGAAGCTACAGGTGGCCAAGGCTAGGGACTTGGGGCTTATCTGCTTCATGTGTGGATGGGGGGTGCCTGGCTTTTTGTCTACTTTTTTTTTTTTTTTTTTTTGCCAGTCCTGGGGCTTGAACTTAGGGCCCAGGCCCTGTCCCTGAGTCCCTGAGCTTTTTTTGCTCAAGGCTAGCATTCTACCACTTGAGCCATATCACCACTTTTGGCTTTTTCTGCTTATATGGTACTTAGGAATTGAACCCAGGGCTTCATTCATTCTAGGCAAGCACTCTACCACTAAGCCACATTCCCAGCCCAAACTCAGGACTTTTTGCTCTCATTTGGCTTTTCCTGCTCACAGTTGCACTCTGCCACTTGGGCCACACCACTTTCAGCTTTTTGCTGTTTATTTGGAGATCAGAGACCTGTTCATTTGTCTGCTCAGATTGGCTACAGATTGTGATTCTTAGATCTCAGCCTCTTGAAGTAGCTAGTTTGACAGGTGTGAGCCTGCGGCTCCCTCCCCAGTGTGGGTTTTAAAGTTGGATTTGCAACCAGGTGAACAGAGGAGCCGGTGCCCCGGCCAGTCTCCATGGTCCTGATCAGGAGCCAGGTGGAAGTCAGCATTGCCGGTGGGGTACAAGTTTCCAGGCATCAGGATGACTGACCCACCTGGTGTCAAGTGTGTTCATTTTGAAGCTGGAGGTGATCTAAGAAACTGTGCTATCAAAAGTCCCCGGTCTCCATGTGATTCACACTGGGTGGGATCCAGGGGACACCCTCCAGGGTCTCTTGGGTACTTCCTGGAGCACAGGCACGCTGCTTTCCTGTCTAACTATGTCTAACAGCTGCTTTCCCCTAACTATGCCTCAGCTTCTCCCACAGGCTGAAGGGAAGCGAAGCTCCCTGAAGGCAGCCCTGGGCTGGGCCTCTGCACTCAGCTCCTGAGGAATGGTCACCTCAGCCAGTGCTGGCCTTTCCTGGCCCCACAGTTCCCCCGTAATAACAGGGTACTAACTCTCTCCTGTAGCCGGCTTCATCCAAGCACCACTGTCCCAGGAGGGGTTGGTGGGGGGCAGTGTGGCCCTGCACTGCGAGGCTGTGGGCAGACCTGTCCCTGAGATCCAGTGGTGGTTTGAAGGGAATAGTCCCAACGACACCGCCTACCAGCTCTGGGATGGCGCCTGGCTGGACCGTGTCCACATCCACGCCACCTATGACCAGCATGCGGCCAGCAGCCTATCCATCGACAAGCTCAGCGCGGAGGACGCGGGCACCTATGAGTGTCGGGCCAACAACGACCCCAACCGCAACCACCTGACTCTGACACCCAGGGTCAGGTGGGTCCGTGCTCAGGCGAGCGTGGTGGTCCTCAAACGTGAGTGGCCAGGGTACTTGGCCTCTGTTTCCCTTTTGTGCCACCCGGCCCTGGCTCCTGCTCCATAGAATATCCAGATGCTGCCCTGGCCAGCTCTTCACCCTTCTCCTACAAAGGGCTCCACTCCTATGGACCAGGGCCTGTGGCCTAGACCTGGTGGCCTCAGCATTTGGCCTGGCTAGGGTGCTGGCAGGCTCTGCCCCTTTGCAGGTGGGTCCCTAGTCCCTCCCCCTCGGCCCTCCAACCTGTTCCTCAAGCACCTGCCGGGCCCCTCTGTGGCTGGCTGGTCCATCACCCTGTGCACTTGTCCAGCGGCTCTGGGATCTGTCGTCCAGAATGGTCACATGCGCCTAGCCTGTGGTGTCCTGCCACGTTCAGCCAGGAACAAGGTCCTCCAGCCTTGTGAGGCTTCTCAGCTTCCAGGTTTAAATGATGATCCGATTGGATTCCTAAAGGGAATGCTCTCAGCTGGTCAAGAGGTTGGCTCTATTGAAAAGTGGTGGTCTGGCTCCAGTGGTTCACGCCTGTAATCCTAGCTACTACTCAGGAGGTTGAGATCTGAGAATCATGGTTTGAAGCTGGCCAGAGCAGGGAAGTCTGAGACTTTACTCCATTCAACCACCAAAAAGCTGGAAGCACCAAATGAGAGTGCTAGCCTTGAGCAAAAAAAAAAAAAAAGAAAAAGAGAAAAGCTCCAGTAGGGCACCCAGGCCTTTCAGTTCAAGCCCCAGGACTGGCACCAAACAAACAAAAAAAGCAGTCAGATCAGGGCCTAAAGCACCATGTGGCAGTGGCCTATCTTGAGACAGAAGTTCCAGTTTGTGTAGGCCAGCGCAGCAGGTTGATGCCTGGTCCTGTAGGTAGATCCACAGCCTCTACCCTGGACCGTACCTGTCCTGCCCTGTCCTGTCCAGTGCCCTCCTGCTCCAGCTATCTCTGCCCTTGCACTCCGGATGCCTGGCTGGCCCACCCACCCACCCGCCCGTCCATCCATCTCCCCTGTGCCTGGGTCCTTCTGGATAGTGTTGTGGGTGTGCCTACACCAGATCTGAGAGAAGCTTGCCTCAAGCTAACCTGCAGCTGTGGGGAGAGGCTTTGACACGGGGGGGGGGGGGGTCTCTGGGCCTTGAACCACTGTGGCTCCCAACTGGATGAGGACAGTGCAGGCTGCGGGGCAAGCCCCGTGCCTAGTGCTGACCTCACTTTGGCTTCCCAGCGGGCACCATCGAGACCTTTGTGGAGAACTACAATTCCAAGATACGCCTTACCTGCACCCTAAATCAGAGCTCCATAGAGATTGTCGGCCACCGGTGGATGCGAGGCAATAAGGTGGTGAAGGAGGACACACTGTCCGGGCTGACCACCGAGTTTGAGTGAGTGACCAGAGAGGCCAGCAGGGGGCTCTTGTGGGTGGGCTTGAGGGGTGGCTCTGAAAGCCAAGGGGCATCTGGGGCCTGGAGGGCAGGGCCTGGAGTTCTCAGGACACTCTTAGTGCCCTGTGCACGCAGGAAGCATCAATGGCTTTGTGTTTGGAACAGAAAAGCAAAGCTTGGTGTCTGTCTCACTCAGCCCCAATCCCATGGTGGCCAGTCCTGGGCTTCATTGGGGCTCCAGCAGGCACAGTGTGCACAGAGCCCTGTTACAGCCCTCATGTGGGGAGGGGGCTGCCTCTCTTATGTGTCCCTGGTGGAGTCACCACCAAATGGCCTCGCTGGGGCTCCACTGAGGCCTGAGCTTATCCAGACCAGTGCAGTTGTGTCACAAGGAAGAAGTAGAGGCCCACGTGGAGCCTCCAGCCTCACCAGTGTGCTTTGCTTACAGAGTGGACAAGGAGGAGACCGGCATGGGCAACTACTTCTGTGTCTTCCTTCCGGAGCCCACGGGCAAGGGGGAGTTCATACTGTGTGAGCTTGGGGCTAGGTGTGCCTTGAACCGGCTGGGACTGGCAGGCTGGGCTGCGGGTGACCTGCAGGCCTGGGCGTCAGCTTCCTTCCTTCTCTCCAGTGCCCCCCAATGTCACGGCTGTGAAAAAATCAACTCATGGTGAGGAGGGGACAACAATCACAATTATGTGTAAAGCATCTTCTAACCTTCCACTCTTGTATTGGACCTGGCACAAGGTGGTTGATTCCGACAGTGAGGTGAGCACCTGTAACTGGGGTCACGGAAGAGCCCACAGTTGTGCATGAGGATATGAGGGGTCCTCCTTGGTCCTGACGAGCCTCCACACACAACCCCCCTCCCCCCAGATCATCGTTAGTGACAAGAAGAAGTTCTTCGTGAACTCCACGGGGCTGGAGACACGCCTGACCATCTATAACCTGGACCCAAGCACCGACCCTGGCTCCTACCTGTGCAATGGCACTAACTCAGAGGGCAGTGGTTGGGAGACAATTACGTTGCGTGTGCACAGCCACCTGGCTGCCCTCTGGCCTTTCCTGGGCATTGTGGCCGAGGTCCTGGTGCTGCTCATCATAATCTTCATCTGTGAGAAGCGACAGAAGTCCAGCCATGATGCAGATGCAGATGGTGAGTGGCCCTGAGAAGAAGCAGAGTTAGCGGGGTTCCCTTGGCTAGGTATAGTGGCAGCAGTGTGGACCTTAGGGCTTCAAGTGCTATCCTGGAGTAACAAGGTGTATGACACATTACCACCATGCCCACCCCCCAGTTCCCTAACCTCACCTCTCTGCTCTCTCCCTTGGCTGCAAACAGGTGTCCTCCATGATCAGTGCTATTCTTGCCACTTGGGGTGGCGGGTGGGCCAGCAGCATGTAGCCTCTGCACAGTTCCTAGAGGCTGGGCGGGGCGAACACACAGCCATGCTGCTGTGGCTCGTGTTAGACTGCGCTTCAGCAGGACCCTGGGTCAGGCTGCTGCGCCCGGCACGCTGCAGGCCTACACTGATGCCTGTTCTCTCTCTTCCATGTGGCTGTACATCACAGAAGATGAACTGGGCTCTGCACCACTGTAAGTCCCTCATGAGAGGTATTGGGGTACCCAAGGGCCTCTCTTCACCGGGAGGGGGCAGGGGAACAGATCTGTTCACCTTTGGTTTCCATGGATCCACCCTCCATGAGGGAGGACCTCAGTGGGCCCTGGCCAGGTAGGTGCTGCTGAGCAGTCACGAGGTCAGAGCTGGCCCCAGCATGCCTGCGCCATGTTGAGGCCCTGCCCTGTGTCCCCAGGAAGAGCAGCGGGCACAGCCTGGACAAAGACAAGAACGTCCGCCAGAGGAGCACCAGCTGAGCAGGTGTGCGGCGAGGCCGGGGCCCGGGGCCCGGGGCCTGGGGCACTGGTCAAGGACCAGAGCCACCCGCCTGGAGCCTGGCATCTGCGTCCCACCTCCCACAGGACTCCTTCCCGTGTTTGCCAAATTTCACATCCTCTCTCCTCCGAGAAAAGCCACCCGGCAAAAGCACATAGCTGTAGCCCTCACTGAGTTCCTCCTCCAGATCCTCTTCCACTAAATGAGGCTCTTCCACCCAGAGGGTTTTCCTTTGTAAAGATGCCACTAGAGCCCCAGGTGGTCAGTGTGTCCCTGAGTCTCCAGGGCGGGTATGCAGGGTTGGGGCCTTGCCCTGGGGGCAGGCCAGGCCAGTGCCCGTCTGAAGCTGGCACTGTCTGGCCACACCTGTGCTCTCATTTTCTCCTGAAGGCCACGGTCTGTTTCAAGCCCAGTAGGAGCCGAGTGAGTCTCTGACCTCATGGCGGAGGGCCCCACTCACTTGCTTTTAGGGTGATCCATTCACTGCTCCCCGGTGATCTCAGGCCCCTCCCAATGTCTGTGTGCCCAGGACCAGAACTGCAGAAGTGCTCATCTCCGTGGACATCCTTTGGGCCTCCTGGGACCCCCAATCCCCAGCTGGCACAATAAAGACTGACTTCACCTGTCTGAGTCCACCTCTGCTATGAGGCAGTGGGGTGTGGGATGGGTCCGGGACTGGTAAGCCAGATGCCCCCCCACACACACTCAGCAGGCAGGGGAGGGGTTTGTGGCCTGCATTGATAGTTTTGCTGTCCAAGAGAAGGTGGCGGAGGCTGTGAAGCCCAGGGCAGGACTAAGCAGTTATTTCCAAAGAGCCTGTTATGTCTTGGCTGAATTTTGGGCCTGAGTCTGACAGCCCTCCCCTGAGCACTGCCTGCTGAGGGCAAGGTGGGCCCTGGGTGGTGGGTAGCGGAGGCAGTGGAGCCCTCCTGCCAGCCTAGGACTTGCCCACATACCCCACAGGGAGCCACTGTGGCATGTCTGACAGCCTCTAGTCCTGGGACGCAGGGCTGAGGCTCAGAAAGACAGGGCAACACCTGTGGTAAGTGGGCCACCTCCCTACCATATGCCAAACAAATACAGCAACAAGGAACAAGCAAGGCACAAGGTTGGAATGGGAGGGGGGGCGGTGCCAGAGCTCCAAGGGCAGAGAAGGGTAGGTTCCAAAAGGAAATGGGACAGTGTGGGCCTCACAGGACCCGTGGCCAAGGAGACCTCACCCAGACCCGAGCCTAGCCTCCTTTAAGTCATTGCACTGTGTTGAGGTGCTGTAGAAGGATCCGGGAGTGGGGGACGAGGGAAGAGTCCCCAAAATTCCTGGCCCATGTCCACTGCCCTGAAAGATGCCACCTCCTCGCTTTACCAAGGAAGAATTGGGATGGACCATGTCTGGGGTGGCTATGACCCTGTGGTTCCCCACAGCAGCCACTAGAGGGTGCCATGCCCTTAGGCTGAGAGTTGTAGAGTCTTGGGGGGGAGGGGGCGGGCCCATACCTTAGGTTGCCCAGCAGGGGCTCAGGCCCTGCATCTGCTCCTGGACACACCTGAGTCCCCCTGCCTGCCTGCCTCTGACCTGGGAGGGCAAGGAGGAATCTCAGGTTTGGAGGCCCATGGTTCCACCCACTACTATGTCTGCTGGGTGGCCCATGAATTTACTTAGTGGATTGGGCACCTGAGGTATACCTGGAGCTGGAGATTGTGCGTGAGCAGGAAGGGGGCTTGGTGAAGGGCAGCCAACACTTGTACAAGGCCTGTGAGTGAGCATGCACACATCCTGTGTAGCGATGGTGCCCCCAGCTGAGAGCACTGTCCCGGCCCTGTGCTGGCTCTCAGAGGGCATGTGCAGGGGCTGGGCAGGGTGGCCTTAGGAAGGGTGGGGAGTGGGAGCCAGAGAGGCCTTCCAATGTTAGTTTGCACATGAGAATGAGAACGTGCCTACAGCAGCGCCACTCCGCACCCAGCGCTTCATGAGCACCTGTATGGCGCAGCCCCAGGACCAGTGTCACTAGGGCACAGTGGTGGCTGTCACCAAATTTTGGTGGCAACCTGCTGACCACCTGCCTCAGATGAGACAAGGTCTGAGACATTCAGGAGGCAGTAACCAAAATCCCCAGAGGGAGCTGCGGGGTTCGAGTCCCAGCCTCTAGTGTACAGAGAAGAGCAGGGCCAGGCGGCCTTTGGACAAACAAGGGCTTATTCATGGTCCAGGACTGCACACTGGGCCCAACAGCTGGCTGCTGGCTTCCAACCTACCCCCACCCAGGAGCAGGTCCCTGTTCCCTCCATCTGGGCTGGGGAGGGAGCCAAGGTCCAGGAAAGCAAGAGATTTGGGGGCTTCTGGTTGTGCATGCAGGGTGGGATTGAGGCACAATAGCATCCAAGCCTGCTCACTGTTGGGGTTTTTTTTGTTTTGTTTTTTGCCAGTCCTGGAGCTTGAACTCTAGGCCTGAGCACTGTCCCTGACTGTCTTTAGCTTGAGGCTAGCACTCTACCACTTGAGCCACAGAGCCACTTCTGGCTTTCTTGAGTAGTTTATTGGAGATAAAGAGCGTCATAGAGTTTCTTGCCCAGGCTGCCTTCCAACCGTGAACCCCAGATCGCAGCCTCCTGGGCCCAGCTCCACTCACTGTTAAAATGCTGGGGTGGGAAAATCACCTATCTACCCTGCTCAGATGATGTCCTGTGGGTGTGTCAACCCAGGAATGACCCCCTTTCCCAAGCCCCAGTACCCCCAAGGCACCAGTCTTGCCAGAGAGGACTGATGAATATCACCTCAAGCTTCCTGTCTTCCAGTTCTTTAGTTTTTTCCACTCCAAAGGCCCACATCCTGTGAGCCTCCACCGCCAGCCTCAGACCCTGACCTACAGAAAGCCTTGCAGGGGCAGGTATGGCTGGGAGGGCACAGAAATCCCTTGAGGAGGCTCTGCTTCAGAGAGCAGGTCTGACCCCAGGGCGGTGTTGTGGCCACACCAAGTCCAGAGATGGACACTTTTCTTCCAAAAAGTATTTTATACCAGCACTTGAACTTAGGGCCTTACTCTTCCCCTGCCTTTTTCACTCCAGGCTGAGCTATATCTCCACTGCCAGCTTTTTGCTCATTAACTGGAAATGAGTCTCATGGGTTTTCCTTTTTTGGCCCTGGCTGACTAGCTAGGATTACAGGCATGAGACACTAGCACCAGTGATGATGAGGATTTTAGGCAACAGTGTGGACCTAGAGTCTGCAGATCAAACTCTACCTGCTAACTGCCAACCCTGGCTGTAGATCTCCATGCTCCGCGGACAAGTCCTGGAGATAAGCGCCCTGCCTGGGCCAAACTGCTTTTCCAGATGTTCCTTGCAGAAGTCCAGGAGACAGTGGGCGAAGCTTCCCTACTTGTGGTCTCAGATAAAGGCCTTCTCCTTCCCCTTCTCTGCACTTCCCAACCTCCCTGAGACAGGATATCTGTGGAATGTCATACTCACCGTGATTATCTTTTGTGTCTGCCAGTTGGACTGTCCCATTCTGAATATCCAACCCCTGAATGAGGTGCTTAAGGACTCGGTTAGATAAATGGTGCTTTGGTCTGGACAGGTGCTGTGTAGGAGACTTGAGTAGCTGGCGGCCAGTCCCTTAGTTCACTGGTGACATCTGGCCCAGGGGTCCTGATCCAAGGAGCACGGCTCCCACCAAGCTGCAGAGAGGGACCTGGAGTCCTGAGTTCAGCATCCTCAGGTATCGTCTGCTGGGCTTGGTGAATCCTAAGACAGCTAGAGGACTGGCCGCCTCCTCACCGGCCCAGCCATAAACCCTGGGGCTCTGGCAACCTGCCCAGCCTGACATCTTCCCAGGGCGAACATAAAAGGTCTCCCTTCAGCCGGAACACGCATTTACCCTGGGGCGGGGTAGAGCTTGGCCCAGCCAATGCCAACTCTGCCTAGTGGGTGGCATCAGAGGTGCTTGTGGGGGTCTTTGGAGGTCTCTGGATGGGGCAGACTGGCAGAGGTAAGAGGTGGCAGCTCGCTCTGTCCACTCACTGTCAAATGAGGACACAGCAGGGCAGGGCCTACCCCATCACTATGGAACACCTGCTGTGGGCAGAGACAAGTCACATCTCCCCCCCTCCTGGCCTGAATGGCCCCGTGGGCAGCGGGCACCCAATAGACACGTCATCACTGGATGAATCAGACCAGAAACTGAAAGCTGGAGGGTCTGGAAGGGCCAGGGGAGTTCATGTGCGGGGTGTGTGTGTGTGCTCCTTGAACGGCTCAGGTGGTCCCTGGGGAATCCAGGAGGATTCAGAGGGCAACAAGGTTGGGAGGGCCTAGGAAGGTCTAGGAGATATCCTAGGCTGCGATTTCCTTCCACTTCTGAGCTGTCGTCCTCTCCCCTGCCCCTCTCATGACACCCTTCCCCCATCTGATGGAGCTGGGGAGGATGGGGGCGAGGGCCTCCGTGTCACTAGGCATTAGTAACGTTGCAGCCAACTCCAGCCCAGAGCAGGGAGGAGCCCTTGTCTCCCCAGGGCTAGGACCTGAGTCAAGGGGGCAGGGAGGAGGACGTGGAGTGCGGAGGCAGTGGTTCCCCAGGAAGCCCCAAAGCCCACCAAATCATCAGGACAGCCCACCCCCGCCCCCACTCCAGGGCACCATTTGAGGATGGGGTCGCCAGGGCCTCAGGGAGATCTTTTCTTTCTGGGCTCGGTCTTAAGTTTCCCCATATGCAGACTAGACCCAGAAGGTACCCCTGCCTCCCGAACCGACCCCTGCCCCGCCCGGCCCCTCCCCACAACACTCAAGGGTCTTAATCCAGGACAAGCAAGTTTCGGGATGCAGCCAGGACCTGGAGGCCTTTACAAGCATCGTTTTATTATGGAAATGTTGCACCTCGGGACGGGAAGGCGGGTGGCTCCCGCGCGGGGGCGGTGCGGTCTCCGCGCCCGCGGCCGCGGCCATCCCTCCGCGGTGCGCTCCGGACAGCTGGAGCGCGAGGCGCGAAGTGTCTCCCCAGCGCCGCGCGCACAGGCCCGGGCCCGAAGGCTGGGCTTGGTGACCTTGGACGCGTCCTTCCACCTCTCGGGCCTCAGTTTCCCCTGTTGAAGCAGGCCTGCGCGCTCCTCCCGGGCCTACGGCCTCCTGACCTTGGGCCGTCCGCTGCGCCGCGACTCAGTTTCCCCTGCGCGGCCCAGGCGGACCGGGGGGCGTGCGGGCCGGGTGGGAGGGGGGCGCGGGTGGAGGCGGGGC